GCTGCGAGGCGCGAGGCGGGAAACCAATATGTCAACCTCACAGCCTCTCACCATAAGGAGAACCGTGAGGAACCCGCGCACATCCAACAAGGAATGTGCTTGAATGCTGACTTTATAAAACCTTGATTCCTGGTGAATTGGGAAAACGCCATTTGTTTGTTTGGCACTTTCTTGACAAAGTTTAGGAACTCGGGGAATGAGTGAAACAAAGAAGTCCAAAGGGAAAACATTAAAAAGAAGAAATCCAAAGGGAAAACATTAAATCTTGAAGCCCGCGGAGATAAAGAGGATTAAGAACGATTCTCTTTCATGGGCGAGGTAAAAAACCTTCCAGCTGAGTGGTGCAACAGGGACCCTTTCATTCAAATTGAAGTCCCCAACCCAGCAGCCGAATTCAGGAAGTTAGAGGCTAAAATCCACCGAACTGGGGGGTCTAAGGCCCGCCGAAAAGGAAGCGTAAGAAACCCAAAGCCCAAGAGGCTTGCCAATGTTTTGGGCCTGAGACGGTGTCATATTGCATTGCCTGAATAGGGGGTACGGACGCAAGGTTAGCCCTCGAACCCATCGTTTTCGGTTTTCCTTTTGCACCCAGCAAATTACCCTCAAGAAACACACAGCATGTAGTGAAGCCGAGAGGTCCCAAAAGCGCCGAGTCCCAAAAGCGGTGCTGCTCTGCACCCTCCTGTAACTCCTCGGGCTTCAGATTCACGCCTTGATTGCCTGGGCGGGCTGAGAATCTGGGCGAGCCAAATGAAATACGTGGATGTATATATATATATATTGTAGATTATGTATATATATATGTAACATACCATGTATGTATGCATGCGCCAATGTATATATGTACGTACGTACGTATGTATATGCGTATGTGTATGCATATGTACGTGCATATGTATGTGTATTTGTAAGTGTGTCTGTATATGTATGCATATCCATATGTATATCTCTATGTCTATGTGTGTATGCATGCATGCATGTATGTGTGTATGAATGTCATGTCATGTCATGTCATGTCATTTCATGTAATGTAATGTAATGTAATGTAGTGTATGTGTATGTACGGGTGTATGTGTGTATGTATGTATGTATGTACGTGCGTGCGTACGTGCGTACGTACGTACGTACGTATGTATGTATGCATCTATCTATGTATGTATCTGTGTGTGTGTGTGTGTCTGTGTCTGTCTGTCTGTCTGTCTGTCTGTCTGTCTGTCTGTCTGTCTGTGTGTGTGTGTGTGTGTGTGTGTGTGTGTGTGTGTGTGTCTGTGCAGGTATGTGCAGGTATATATTATATGTATGTGTGTATGCATGTATATATGTATGTATGTATGTATGTATGTATGTATGTATGTATGTATGTATGTATGTATGTATGTATGTATGTATGTATGTATGTATGTATGTATGTATGTATGTATGTATGTATGTATGTATGTATGTATGTATGTATGTGTGCATGTGCATGTGCATGTGCATGTGTATGTGTATGCATGTGTACGTGTATTTGTATGTGTATGTGTATGTATGTGTATGTGTATGTGTATGTGTATGTGTATGTGTATGTGTATGTGTATGTATGCATGTGTGTGTGGATGTATGAATGTACGTACGTACGTACGTACGCATGCATGTATGTATGTGTATTGATATGTGTATCCTGTTGATAATGATTTGGAGCAGACTGTCTGAGACCATGAAGATAATACCAAACAAACTTCTAGGGTCTTTCTGCGTAAAGGACTAAGGAAACAAATCCTCTTGGAATCTGTCTATTCTTTCTGATCAGTGTGTGCGTGTGTGTGCTTTTTGAGGGCACCCCGTTTTTGGTGCTGTTCAAGGGAAACAAACAAAAACAGCATTTGAATTATGTTGGGGGGTCCCCGAATAAACGACACCTCAAATGCTGATAGCATCACTGACATACATGGAAGTTGATTGCTAAAATTGCTTGTTCCGGGGCATGGCATCTTCCTGTGAACAAACTAAGTTTCGGCGACTTCCATCGCGGAGCTTTCGCGTGGCCATGCTAAAAAGTCATATCGGCGAGGTCCGTGCGGAACGTTCGCGGAGGAACGCAGAATACCAAATGGACTTCCCCTTCGTTTCTCAAAGTTTATGCCATCTCACCCCTCGTGTGATCAAAGAGTCCAAATGGATTGAAAATATAGATCCCGCCTTCTAGTCGACGCCACGTCATCAGGTCCCACTAGCTACTAGCTAGAGTATGCTTGAACGGTTTTTGAAGACGATGAGGAAAAAAGAAAGGAAATTGTTAGACCTTGAAAAAGGGCTGCAGGAAGGACCTTTCAAAGGACTCCCACCTGGAAACAAAGGCAACACAAGCACGGCACACCCATCGCAGGCTCTGACATGATGGTTCCCCCTGGTTGCATAGTATAAAACCTGAAAAAACCGGGCAAACAAATTCTACCTAACCGAAGGGGGTGATTGGCGGTTTGGATGGGTGTTTTGGTTAAGGAGGCTTCCCATTTGCCCTCAAGGGGGTTCAAATCCCCAACCACCGCCCCAAACCACCAATTTCTAGGGGTACCTGAAACCAGTTGCTAAATTATTCGGGGGGACAAATCATTTGGCCCCAAGTTTCAAGTTTCCACCATAAGGCCTTTTTCCTGCTTCCCCCTCACACAGCTCCGAAACTTGCGGATGGTTCCTTCTCTCCCGGCCCTACCTTTCAGCCAAACAAGGTAGTCCATGGAGGTCCAAAACTGGCTGGTTGCAGAAAGGCAAAATAGATATCAATCAAACCATGTTTGGAATTTTGGGAAATGCATGGAGCCCGCAAATAGACACCCTGGTAAAATTTAATGGTCTTGTATTTTATGCTATCTGTGGATCCAACCGGCCCGGACACCACACCTACGCTGGAAACAAGGGGGCTAAACAGGAACACATTGGACCACTGCCTTCAGCTTCCGGCCACAATGAACCGATGCATCGTTTGAAGGTTCGCCTGTTTGTTCCAGGAGACTCCTGGCCACATGCACAAATCTTGGTTGCTGTTGACCCCTCTGCAAAAAAAAGAAGAAGCAACTTTTTATGGGTCCAATACAACATCCGACCTGTTTCACCCAACAAGTGGAAAGATCAAAGATCCGTTGGCAAATAGCCATAGCACCCCCCCCCCCCGGCCCCCCCCCCAATGGACTGCTAGGCACTATGCGACAGCCAGTCTCCAGATTGAAAGCAATCAACAGCACAACCAACGCAACCAACCCATACCCACACCACCCACCCAGCCAGCCAGCCAGCCAGCCAGCCACCCAGCCAGCCAGCCAGCCACCCACCCACCCAGCCACCCAGCCACCCAGCCACCCAGCCACCCACCCACCCAGCCAGCCAGCCAGCCAGCCAGCCAGCCAGCCACCCAGCCAGCCAGCCAGCCAGCCAGCCAGCCAGCCACCCACCCAGCCAGCCAGCCAGCCAGCCACCCAGCCAGCCAGCCACCCACCCAGCCACCCACACACCCAGCCAGCCTACCCAGCCACCCTAGCCACCACGCACCCTGACCAGCCAGCCAGCCAGCCAGCAGCCAGCCACCCAGACCAGCCAGCCAACCAGCCAGCAGCCACCCCCACCCAGCCATCCAGCCAGCAACCAGACCAGCCACCCAGCCCAGCAGGCCAGCAACCCAACATTCCACCACCCACCACACACCACCAGCCAGCCAGCCAGCCAGCCACCCAGCCAGCCAGCCACCCACCCACCCACCCAGCCACCCAGCCACCCAGCCAGCCAGCCACCCACCCACCCAGCCACCCAGACACCCAGCCACCCAGCCACCCACCCACCCAGCCAGCCAGCCAGCCACCCAGCCACCCACCCACCCACCCACCCAGCCAGCCAGCCAGCCAGCCAGCCACCCAGCCAGCCAGCCAGCCAGCCAGCCACCCACCCAGCCAGCCAGCCAGCCAGCCACCCAGCCACCCACCCACCCAGCCACCCAGCCACCCACCCACCCACCCAGCCAGCCAGCCAGCCAGCCCACCCACCCACCCACCCAGCCACCCAGCCACCCAGCCACCCAGCCACCCACCCACCCAGCCAGCCACCCAGCCAGCCAGCCACCCACCCACCCAGCCACCCACCCACCCACCCAGCCAGCCAGCCACCCAGCCACCCACCCAGCCAGCCAGCCAGCCAGCCAGCCAGCCACCCACCCAGCCACCCAGCCACCCAGCCCCAGCCACCCACCCACCCAGCCAGCCAGCCAGCCGCCACCCCAGCCAGCCAGCCAGCCAGCCAGCCGCCACCCACCCAGCCAGCCAGCCAGCCAGCCACCCAGCCAGCCACCCACCCAGCCACCAACACACCCTACCAACAAACCAACCAACGACACCAACTACCAACGACACACACCAACCAGTTTCAAGTTTCCACCATAAGGCATTTTTCCTGCTTCCCCCTCACACAGCTCCGAAACTTGCGGATGGTTCCTTCTCTCCCGGCCCTACCTTTCAGCCAAACAAGGTAGTCCATGGAGGTCCAAAACTGGCTGGTTGCAGAAAGGCAAAATAGATATCAATCAAACCATGTTTGGAATTTTGGGAAATGCATGGAGCCCGCAAATAGACACCCTGGTAAAATTTAATGGTCTTGTATTTTATGCTATCTGTGGATCCAACCGGCCCGGACACCACACCTACGCTGGAAACAAGGGGGCTAAACAGGAACACATTGGACCACTGCCTTCAGCTTCCGGCCACAATGAACCGATCGTTTGAAGGTTCGCCTGTTTGTTCCAGGAGACTCCTGGCCACATGCACAAATCTTGGTTGCTGTTGACCCCTCTGCAAAAAAAAGAAGAAGCAACTTTTTATGGGTCCAATACAACATCCGACCTGTTTCACCCAACAAGAGAAAAGATCCCAAGAATCCGTTGCCAAATAGCCATAGCACCCCCCCCCCGCCCCCCCCCGCCCCCCCCCCCCCGGAATGGAACTGCTAGGCACTATGCGACAGCCCAGTCTTCAGATTGA